GAACAAAAGTGACACCACATGAGCATAGTAAAAAAAAAGAAGAAATAAAAAGAATTAAAATATATATATATATATATATATATAAACAACAAAATTGTTATTAGAGTTATATGCTTTATATATGATTTATATAATTATTATATGATTTTTATTATTATTAATCCATTACACACAAGCTATTTTAGTTAAACAGTTATTATAACGCATTTGTTTTAAATGAATATTTATATATACAGATCATATGCAATATAAATAAACTGTAGAATCAATAGATAACTCTTTAATAAGTGACTACATCTGACCTTACATGTTCGAGTCTCTATCGCTATTTATTATCAACTATATAATAACTTCACAAGTTTCACTTCTGACTGCACTGATAGAGCAAGATTATTTCTTTTATTTGTCCTCTTTCATGGACAAGAACTTTCTTCAGTGTAAATGCATTTAAATTCCTCATATTCTTCATTCTCTTAACCTTTAGCGAAAGAGTTAATAGTCACAAGAAGTGAATCACACTTGCTCTGTGTTACAAGGCATGTGATTGGCTGTTCGCCAGTGATGTCACACATTCAATTCAATTTAATTCAAATTTATTTGTACAGCGCTTTTCACAATACACATGGTTTCAAAGCTGCTTTACATGTGTCTACATTACAATGATCTGTTATCAGAAGTGAATGTGTCCATGTAAAGTTCATTTCACAAATGAACAGGTCAAGATAATAGAATCATACAGTTAGCTAACATTAATTAATTTCAGGTAGAAGCTCATTAAAGCGATTATTACAAGTGTGATCATTATGATTACAATATAGAGAAAATTTGGCAGCTGTGCATATGTGCACGCGCTCCACAAACTCAGAATCAAAGCCTGAGTTGACAAAGAAAGTTGATGATCAGGATCATGGTACCAACAAAGCCAGATTGGAGTGGTTTGGTTTTGTCAACTCGAAAGTAATCCTGTAACTCTGAATTTGTTCAACTACCATCATGGTACAGGCCCCAGAACTAGTAAATTGAAGCTCAGACGTGCTTGCTTGATGTGCGCGAGAACCAAAGAATCAGGTTTTGTAACCAGTGTCGCCAACTGCTTTCAATTGAAACTGGTAGCTAAATGTCACTAGATGACATCATAATGGCAAATTCACTGATCTATATAAAGATGAATGTAGATCAGTGGCCAAGATGAAAACTTAGATAAGGTTTGTCTAAGAAGTTGCTATATTTGTCCCTAAACTTTTGAAAAAAGTCTCAAAAGGGGCGGGGAAGTCACCAAATCTAGCTACAAAGTAGCTAAATTGGCAAGTTTGTAACGTGTTACGGAAGCATGTCTGATCTTCCACAAAGCCAATGAGGTTTGTTTTCGCGCATCACGCAGTAGGTTGAGCTTGTTTGAATTTAGGAACATAAACAAGTAAATAAATTGATATAGTAAGCATATCTTTGGAAAAATGATTTAAGATATACTTAAAATTATAGGATGTTGAAATGCTTGAAGCAAGTACAATTAATCGCTTATTATAATTAATGTATCATGTTCTGTATTTAAAAGTGAATTAAAATGTATTTGAATTGTATTACAAAATGCATAGTATTCTTTTTGAGGACAAACAAGCAAAACTGAACAACATATTGATTTTAAGTATGCTTATTACTAAGGTATAGTTGGCACAATTATATTTATAATAGATTATAAGTTGGTACAATGTAAGAATGCATTTGCATATTTTATAGACCTAGCCATAATGTATTTATATGTGAGTGAATTAATATACTTTATACAATATATTCAAATGTTAAAAATGTTTTGCAAGATATCTTCCTTTTGAAAAGTATGCTGAAATACATGTTCATTACATAAATATTTAAAATATATTGCAGTATGTCTACATTTGCTTATAAATAAGATACATATACTTTAAACCCACTAAACGTTGTATAGTTTTATACAAAGTAAACATAAAATATACTTTAAGTAAGGTTAAAATAAGTATGTTTTCTGTAAATACACTAAAATGTCATACTTGTGTTTTAGCATATTTCTTAAAAGTGTAATTAAGCATATATTACCAACATTACCAACATACATCTAGTATACTTTAAAAAAAATATATTAAAATGCAATTCAATACATTTTTAATGCACTTCAAGTAAGCGTGTTAGGAGTACAATTGTACTATAAATATACTAGCCTATGTGAATTTCAAGTATATTTTTAATACATTTAAGAGTACTTCTTTTTTACCTGGGGATAGATAGATATATAGATAGATAGATAGATAGATAGATAGATAGTGGTTTTAATCACTTGAATAACTTTTATTTAGTAAAACTAGCATGTACTCATCTTATTGTGTTGTTTCAGCTTAGTTATTCCAAGAGAGTTCATAGTCAGATAATTTCTCAACTTTATGTTCCCACATCTCAGTGTTTTCCAGGGCAGTCTGTCCTGTTGGCAATTTAAGCATTGGCCAAAGGCACAGACATCATGGTCTCATCAAAATAATATGAATCGACTGAGGAGCCAATAAAATATTAGACACAGATGGATGTCAACACTTACCACAATAATGGTGACAAGTTCAAATAAGCTGAGAAAAATGACCACTAAATAAAAAACTGTGATGACAATAAATATAATACAATAGAACAGTATAGTAATCGGCATAGCTGTGCATGATAGGAATTGGGTAAGTAGGCATAAAGTATTACAATGTGTAGTGTTTATTAGCTTTGTGATTTACTTGTGATCTAACTAATGGGGAGATAGAAATTGATTTTAATTTCCCCCTCTCTCCGATTTTATTAGTTTGAGTGGCCAGACATAAAAACACCAATAGCATTTGATGTTGCTAATGCTGTCAAAATTACACACAGCACCTTTAAGCTTTAATCTTGTTTACTGAAGTTTATGGTGGAGACAGGGAGGTTCTCTCAGCATTCCTATTCAGTATTTATGACCCAGATTGAACCTTTAGGAGTACTTTACTTTCACACAGTCCATCTGGTTACACACACAAGGACAAAGAGGTGCTACGTGAGGTCCCTCACATAGCTGAGCTGATGTGCCAAGCTTTTGAGAACCTTGCTCTTCTGTTCAAGACCAAAGGAGCATGGAGATGCCAACTGCATGACTTCTCATGTCTGAAAGTCCTGCAGTGTAGAGACCTCCAGTGAATAGGCCTACCTTTATCCTTGACTGTCACTGAACACTTGCTGCCGGCATTTAAGGCATGCAGCATAAGAATAATACAAAGTCTGCAGCAAAATTATTATGCCTTATAAGCATATTTAAGAAATTATTTAAGAAATTATGCAGCCTATGCAGACAATCCTAGAATGCAATGTCACAAGCTCAGCGAAAAACATAGTATATTAAGGATTTTTCATAAAACGTGTCTTTGGACCAAGTGTGTGTTTTCATTCCACCCTGCATCTTTCGTTTTTAATATCAAAGAAATGTATTCTGTTTGAATGGCCCCTTAACCTTGTTTAAGTTTTTTCAACAGGGAACAAGAAGTTAAAAGTTCTGCACTGCCAATTGTGTTTTTTAGCATGGGGTTAATGGAAGTACTTTCTCTTTACTGAAAATGTCAAAAAAAAAACTGAAAAATTCCCTCTTTTCAGAATGAAAATTGCAACGCAATGACCACATTGACCCTGCAGCATTTCCCTTCCACTTTCACAACCTAGTCTTGCTGTGGTGGCTGAAATTTTTGAATTTTTGACTTTTTTGAAGTTTTGAACACTATTGTTTGTGTGTACAAAATATATAGTAATTTTTCAGTAACTTACCTGGTTTAATGTGTGATAGTGACTACAAAAATGGAGAAGGGCCCAGATACTTTTTATTGCCTAATCATGATTATAGTTTTTTCTCATTTATACATTATTTATTGACTTAATAATTATCTGTATAGTGCAATACAATATAACATAATATATTGCAGAGCAAAGGTTTGGAGATTTGTTTGATTCATTTAATTCACAAACATTATTTTATATTTTCTCGGGATGGGGAGGTTGGTGGATGTATCTATCTCCCATCCAAAGTGTTGAATGCAGTTTCTGACTTAAGGCGCTGACTTACAACCACACTGATTCCTACATTTTTCTGGTTGATAGAAAAAAAAAACATGCTGTTTATCATAGGCTCAATTGAAAATAACCACAGAGAGAGATGGGCAATGGGAAAATAGCAAATTTAGAACTTGAACAGACACACACAAACGGGAATACGTTACAGCTCAGCTTCTTGCCCTGGCACACGTGAAAGAGAGATTTTCACAGAGTAAATGTCCTGTAATAACACATAGAAGGAAACATGCATTATTGTTTCTTGCCACCAGCGAGTGCTGTTGTTTAAAGGCCCTTTCGTTTAAGTCGTTTAAGTTGGTGATTCCCAACCAAGGGATACTTGGTTGTTGAAGAAGTGATACATGATCCCTTTTGATGCCAATGTGACTGAAAAGGTGGGACTGATTGATGGGACTGTGGGAGACAAAAAAAAAAGGTTGGGAAGCACTGCTTTATGGGTATATTAGGTTGTCTCACCTGCAGATTAAACTGTTTTGGGGCAATTTGATGAAAAATGTCATGTTCTCCAGACATCAGAATGATGTCAAATATGCAAAGTCTGTGTTTCTACACCAGAAAGGTTTTTTATTTTATTTTATTTATTTATTTTGTATTATTATTTTTTTTTTTTTACCACAAATTTCACAAGTGTTAATCTAAATTTAAATTAGGCCTAATTTAACTATATAATGTTCTTAAAGGGGAAGATGTCACATGTACTCATGCAACACCACCCTTTTTGATGCTGCTTCTTCATCTTTTTATTATTTATTAAAATAATAATTACTTTTCTTTAGACTATTATTTATTATTATTATTATTATTTCTATTAATTAATATACATTTTTATTGATTTTTCGTTTATACTTTTACAGAGATTATATTATAATCTGGCTGTTTTTACACTCTTTTTTTTGCAGAGTTCTTCCTTAGTAAACATAAACAGCACTGCTAAAGGTAAGAGAATCACCTCATGACATAAAACATATAAAATACAGTCTCATACACATGTTTTCAAATCTTATAGCAACCACTACTCAATAAACATAAGTAGGTTGAATTAGTTCTTATATTTTTTCTCTGTTTTACATTTTTCTCTTTGTTATGAGGATCAGACACACATGAGAATTGGATATTTTACAGCAGGAACTGGAAAAAAAAGACTGTACATTATATTAAACCTACAAAGTTCTTTTACTTGACGTGTTATTTATAAGCAGAGCCCTTTTGGATACTTTTTAAACAAATTAGCTGTCAGATAAATATTTATAGTCTCTTTATTTCAAATGTAAGTGAGAAACTTACACCAACTCACTAATAACACTAATAACACTAATAACGAGAGTAATATGACAGTAAAAAGTCAAAATTGGTAATAAAGAACCATTCTCTGCAAGATCCCACAGGACATTCTCTCTTTTAAGAAATCCTGATAAATGAAAAACAGGATATGCACACACGCACTGCAGAGATTTTTCTTGTTGACCTTTTCCAGAGATTTTGTAACTCAAACTATCAATGTAAATAAAATCTGTACTATATGTACATTTCTGCATATGTAAATATGGGTCATATACAGTATATACATTTGTCTTGAGAGGTATTTTGAGATGAAACTGTAGTTGGCTGAACCAGAGCATGGGTTCTAACTCAATCTGATATAATCACATCATTTTTCGCATGGCACAGCTGATGGTTTCTTTCACATCAGCAGCCAATGAGCTTGCTGCTCACCATTCAGATACGTGGCTAGTGCTTGCTGTAGCAGTTGCACCGCGCTGCAGAAACCCTCCACCTTCCCCAGCTCTACCTGTATAGATCTGCTACGGGGTAACTTCATGTAGGTTATATATGGGGGTTATTTCATATATGTTATATGTGCAGCAGCAGTATTTCCTACATGCTCACAGCAGCATGTCCGTGGATGTAGCAGATCTGTTCCACCAAGACCAAACTCATTAACATGTATATTACCATGCTAAACACTCCGAGAGTTGTCATGACAGTTTGCTCAGTGATTGCTTCCAAATGCTCAGTAATTTCTTCTTGTATCTTCATGCACACTTGTAATGGTCTTGTATTTCTGTGCTGTGTTGCAGTGATGCTGTTTCAAGAGGTTTGGGGGAAAAGCTTCTGCCGCACTATAGAGAACTTAGTGGAAGTGGTTCAGGAGTACCCTGGGGAGGTGGAGCATATTTTCAGCCCCGCCTGCGTGCCATTGGTCCGCTGCGCTGGTTGCTGTGGAGATGAGAATCTGGAGTGTCACCCTACGCTCACTTCTAACACCACCATGCAAGTAAGGATTTTTCCTTTGACAAGGCCGACGATATTTACTGTTTCAAAAGTAGCACAAAAGATGGTACCAATAATTATGAATACTAGCTCATACTTTCATACATTGGACCTATTCTTTTTCTGAAGTGATATCTATATAAGAGAATTAGTTTTGTCTGTGTCAGGCACATGGTTGGGATTGATATTAATATTAAGACTTTTTCAGTTGTTAAAGATCAGTCCAGCAGAGCAGGGCCAGGAATATGTGGAGATGACCTTTGTGGAGCACAAAGCCTGTGAATGTAGGTAAGGAAAAGATCAATTTTGTTTATGTAACCACATTTTCCATTGTGATACAGCTTTGTATTGTTGTCATAGATACAAATATTAAACACAAATGTTGAGAATTTGTTTTGTGTGCTGAATTTATCAAGTATGAAATATGTTTGTAATAATCCCTCCGCTTTTCTCTGTCACTCCATGATTTCTCTAACACTGTGATGCCAAGACTAAGAAAACATACAACAAAACAAGACAGGTAACAAGTTATCACACTTATGCAGTTTTGGTATACAGACAAATTGGAATTTCAATGATTCTTCGTTTTGCTGTAGATGGAAACCCAGAAACAGAGGGAGAAAAAGGAAGGAGAAAAAGAGAGCGAAAGATTGTGACAAGTAAGTTAAATGTTGATGGTTTTACATTAGCATGTTGCTAAGCTAACAATGCAATAATATGCATAGATAATCACAAAATACATAGTGCACTCTGAAATTAAGTAACATAACATTTTTAATTGGATCAAACTCATTTTTAGCTATACTTTCCTGTACAGAATGAAATCTAAATATATTTCTTATCAGCATCACCCCTTTGACTGATTGATTTTTTCAGTGAAAATGAATTTCTACTTGACCTGACCCTTGAAAATGACTTTCATTGGTGAAAACCAGTGGTTCTCACCCTTTTTGAAGGCCACCATCATCCACAATAATATTTGAGGGCTCCATGACTAGTTATTTGTGATTTAATTGAGGATTAAATATTTTCCACTCACAATTTCCACTTAATAAAATATTTTACAGTTCGCTTTGGTACTATTTTCACAAGCAACTGTTACATTTTCAAAACTCTTACAACTAATATGACAGCGGATCATCAAAAGTGCACTTTTTTCAAACATTACAGCATATTTTTCTATTGTCTTAGTACAATACACACAATCAGAAAGTATCCTTTTCACTACACAAAATAAATGTTTAATCTATGTAAATGTTTCATTTGCAGTAACTGCCTTTCATAAAGCTCTTACTATCAAACTTTTCATTTGCGTGTCTACTCATTTAGTTTAATACATTTGTCTATTATTTAGTCTAACTCTTCTTAATGGTTAATCAGCAAATCATTTGGTGCATCTATAGACATCTATAGATATAGATTCAATAGACATAGTTTCTAAAGAACTTCCCTTTGGGGACATCCTCATTTGTAAAACTGGTATGAAAATAAAGTAAACAAAGTTTTTTTTAAATTGTAAAAATGCGGACAAAATGTCGCCACAAAGATGGCAATATCTGAAATCCTTGTCGTTGTGGGCCCTATGAGAAAAAACATAATTTTTGTAAGGGTAGGTTTAGGAGTAGGGTTATTGTAGGGGGATTGAATATACAGTTTGTACAGTATAAAACCTATTACTCCTATGGAATGTCACCATAATGATAGGAATACCTGTGTGTGTGTGTGTGTGTACCTACTTAACCATATTTTGGGGACAAATTGGTACCCAGAAATGAGCAAAACCTGACAAAATTGCTGAAAACCTTCCTTTGAGGATGTCCTCATTTGTAAAACTGTGTGTTTGGCAATTTGTGAACACAGCAGGATACAAGGGAGAGGAACTGATTAGAGATTGATCAGAGATGTGTCAGAAGAAGGGAGACAGATGGCATCAAATACAGCATTTTACATTATATTATGCCATGTGATAGTGTGTATAGAGGCATTACCATGGTAGAGTCTGCACATTACTATAACTCACTCTTCATCTGAAAAGTTCAGCTACAGTATAGATTCAGTCATATGGCACAGTGAGGACATTTACTGCATTAACAGTAAACTCTATTCTAGCACAAAACCTTATGGCCATGGCATACCTTCATCACACCCTTTGATAACAACCCGGATAAATACTTTTACAAACATTATGGATTTTATGTGAATTATGCAAGTTATGTAATGTGACAATTAATGCCTGTATTACTGTAATTATTTCAACAACAAAGGTGCTTTGAAACATGTATCTTGCATTGTTTGCTCTTGAATGAACTGATTGCTAAAAGTACAAAACTGAAAGAAGATCATATTGTCGTGTTTTGGAGATCAAATCAAATCAATATGTACAATAATCTTATGTTTTGCATGATATCAGTTTTTAAAAGAATGAATAGCGATATTACAAGTTTGATCAGTTTGGATTTTGTACTTAGAAAAAACAGCTGTTGAGGGGGTAAGCTATAAGAAACTAAGAGTGGGTGAAGTAAGAAAAATCTTGATTTTTGGTTTAGCTTATTTTAATGTTTGTTTTGTCTTTATTTTAAATTATATCAAGTCATTTTGAGGCCCTGCTCCCCGATTAAGAACCACTAATGTAGTCAAGTTGATTCAGTCATATTATTAACTGTTGCACTTAAAACCAGTTATTGCAGATATTACCTCATGAAGAACCTCATCCCTCTAGGTTCTGAAACAAAGCAGGTTTTTTAATGTACTTTAAGGACACAAGTACAAAGAGTGCATTGTTCTCTGAGCATAAGTGGCACACTTACAGTAATGTGTGCTCTCTTACAGGTGTCAGCCTCCCCGTAGATAAACACTGTCTCGCCGTGATGCCAGCCAATCGTGTGCATCCGCCCCCTTCTGTGCGACCCTCACCGTCATCATCGTGAACTTATGGATACTGCCACTGCTCTGCACCCCACCATCCCAGATGCAGAGTTGTTATGGTGATGGGGCTTCTGTCAGCACATGGGGGCCTTCCAGTCATCTGTACAGGAAACTCGTGTTGTGCAGCTCTCTACAGAAGAAAAACAACCGAAGACCAAACCTAAAATCTGGGACTGAATTAAACCCTATGGACTTATAATATTATAATATAATAAGATTGTTATTTTAATGTTTTATATTAGTTGTAGTGAAAGTAATATAGTAATAGTAGTGGTAGTACTGGTTTCGCTACCAGCTTTTCCAAGTTTTCCCCTTTTATTTATTAAAATCCACTGAAGTAAAACTGGTGCATTCCATTAATCAATATATTAACAAAGCCATTGTGTATTTGTTCATAAATCCAGAAGGAAGCGCAGAACAAAATGTCATCTCTTTAGATTATGTTACTGCTATGCTAAGACTATATTACACTTTAATTTTGTGAAAACCATGTTAGACAATCTTTTCATACATAGTATTTTCTGTTTATGTTCTAAAGCTTCTCTGTGGCTTTAGCCCTCGACTTGAGCATTAAATTGACATACTGACCTCTAGTGGTAATAATAAAATAATTATGTTCACAATGTGTTCTTCGAATAATACTGATCTGAAAGCCATCCCATTATAAAATATATCACTATAATATTTCTACTTTGGCAAAACTAAAAGATTTGATGTGTGCAGTGTGTAAGGACAAAGACTTTGCTCTGAAAGGGCCAGTCAACAGGAACCGAGACGGACGTTCATTACGATATGAGTGAATGTTGGTGTTTTGAATTATTGTTTTGTCAGTGAAAATGACAGAATTTCCACACTTTGGACTCAGGTCTATAAAGTGCCGGAATTAAACCAAAGAAGCATTATTATCTATGCTGCTGACCCTAAATATAAATACAATAGTTTTCACCAAAGGGCTATTTAATTCCCAATGTATAAAATGTGTTTTTCAAAATATTGTTTATATGTATTAATATTATACAACTTTAAGAGTACCTTTTCGTAATAGAGTGACTATTGTTTGTTATTTCTGATTATTATTAAAAAATATTTTATAAAACATTTGACGTGTGTGTGTGTGTGTGTGTGTGTGTGTTATTATGTCATTTATATATATACAAAGTATATATTAATTTACTAAAGTTTCACTTTATTAATTTCACGATGTCATACAATTAACATAAATATTCAATATTACAGTTAACATAAATCTGATTTAAAATAAGTTTTCAAATGTAGTTTAAAATCAGTTTAATAATATGTCCCATTGGATTTCAGTTACATGCAGTAAATTAAAGCATAAGTGTTTATTTCAAGGGGAATTGGATCTAGTCTAGTGCCATGTTCTTCATATAGTCAAAAAAAAAAAAACATTCAGTAAATGCGATAAAATATTTTTAGAATGATCTTTGTGTTTCTTGGGTTTTAATCTTTTCCTGTATTCATTATTCACATTCCAATTGATTTGATGTATCTGATTTCAGTTTTAATGCAATATATATTTTGGCAATGAGTAATAGAATTGATGTGGTTTTTTGGAGCATGACTCTTCCTGAGGTTGGAGTTAGTGAAGTTACCCAAGTCACTTTTCTGGGCCTGTTGGGATGGCAATTCTGTGGTTGCTGCAACTGGCCAAAAGCCATGTACTTTAGGGCATGACCGTGTGGAAATACATTTGTGTTTAATATTTCCATTGACTTAGAAAGACAAGATCTTAAGGATCGGATAAGACATGTAGTGGTGAATTCAGGGCCACCTGGACACATGATCGCCATCCAAAAAGAAGGATCACCTAATATTTCTAAATAAATTGACAGTTTTACATTTTATAGCATCTGTGGACATAATAATAATAATAATTCGCCTTTACCAATATTTATTTATTTATTTATTTGAATTGTGACAAGCAAATTTTTGCGTGTCATTGGCGTTTGAATTGCGTGGAAAACCACAACAGTTTTGTTTGTTGCGTGGCTTTCATTCTTTGCATTACTTTTTTATGCATTGAAAATTATGGGATGGAGGGGATGACGCTGCAGCGCGTGCTAGATTCACTCTTGAAGCTGCAGTGCAGATTTCACGCCACGCTTCAGAGTCACGTTTACAGTCGCAAGGGTTCATCTCTGCACCAATCAGAAGGCGATATGGAAATATAAGGCGTGTCTTGCATTGTTAAGCAAGTGACGATTCGGCGGTTCCCCTGGCAACAGCCATTTAAGCCAGTCGTGAAGGCGGAGCTGTTTGTAAACTCACGTTGCTCTCAGGGCAGTCCGGTTTCCACAACAACAGAAGTATAAGCTTAGTTTTCACTCGTTAAGCGTCGTTTTACACACAAGCCTTAACAAGAGAGGGAGTTTGAGGAGAATTGTTCTCGGTGAGTATTGAGAAACGTGCATTGTGTGCTGTGGTGTGTGTTTATGGGAGAGTCTCGTGTTTGGGATCGTGTATCAGGTGCCGCAGCTGCGGGTTCGCGACATTCAGGCTCCGTTCGTACTGCATGTATAAACTATTCAATACAAGATCTACAACAAGGTGCTGCTCTGGTTGGCAAGCTGTATTTTAAGATGTTGAGATGTTTTGTTTATTCTGTATGGGGGTGCATTACGGTCATAGCTTATATTCGTGGACTTGTTTACTTGTTTTCATGGCATTCTCTCAGTCTCTGCTTCTCTGCTTCATTCATGGGCTGTTTATTTACCATGAGAAACTTTGTTTAGTAATATTTGGTAATTTATGATAAAGTGTTTGTTTGTTTATAAAACCTATATAAGCCCTGTATCTTTCAGGGTTTTGACTTTCCTTTATTAAATCTATGCCTCTGTCCTGCTCTCAGTCATTGCCCGGATCAGGGCTGTACAGATGGACTGAAATCCAACAAATCGGACCACCAGAGAAGATCCAACATGGGCAACAAACGGAAAGCCGCCAGTGAGCTCGACAGAGATTCAGGTTTGTCGTTTGTAGATTTCCTAGCTTTCCTAGTTTTGTATTATTAATTTCTCAGCTTACCTGAGAAAGTAGATTTCACAGCCCTTGTTTTTTTTCAAATGCTGCGGTATAATTATAACTAATCCCTGTTATAGGTGTATAACTGCATATAATTACTGGGATTTACCCTTACAACATTTTCTCACTGTAGATGCCAGCTCAGGATATTTTAGTGCTTTGGACCAGACCGACTTTGAAGACATGGGACCAACCAGTACTGCAGCACAAAGCATGTCAACAGCTCCTCGGGTGCCTTTCATTCCTGGCTCACATCCAGGCGTCTCTCCCATGATCGTAATGAACAACCTCGTTCTCAAGCAGGTATGACACATTAATACAATTCTGTAAGTGTCCTTGTGTCCGTATGTTGCTTTTCTGGAAAAGCTTTAGCTCATGACACATATCTGTTTGTTGCAGTTACGGTATTGTTTTGGTCTCAAAGCTATATTTTCTAAATATGTTGGTAGTTACAGCTCATTACTGCCATTTGCCTTGTGATTCTTGGATTGAATACTTTCCAATGCTTGCTGCTCAGCATCTTCAGCTCACGAAATATTAACTAACAATAAGCGGAATAAGATGTTTGTAAATAATTTAAACTGATCAACGAGGTTTTATGTACTTTAAATTACTCAAAGTACTTCGACTAACTGAAGTAGGCAAGAAAAATGTGAATTTCTTCTAATATTGTACATTAAATCTATATCAAAAACAGTCATTTATTAATATACTGTAAAAGGCATCTGAATTGCCCTTTAAAGCAAGTTTACCTACCATTTCAGAAATGGATTTGGTTAAAGCTGAGATATTGATAAAAGGGGAGATATTTCACAACATGGTTTCTTTACTGAACCTAATTAATTTATTGGTGTGGATAATTAAATGTTTCCATGGTACACAATAGTAGACAGGCTTTGCCTAGGCTCTTATTGCCTCTTGTGTGTACAGTCGTTTTCCATACACACAAGATGTGATATAAATGCGCATTTCATGCCTGCTGCTGCTTCTTCTCAGAGCTAGCAAGCGAAAACATGCTGCATAAATGAATGAGGCGATTACTATATTGTTTTATAAATATTGCAGCTGGGTCAATGACATAAGGGTATCCACAATGAAGAAAAGGAAGAATCTAGTCATACACTATATAAAAAAATGTACTGTGTCTGTTTTTCAAAATTGTTAATTGATAATTCTTGTTTCAGCCTAACTCTGTGGCCCCTGCACTAAAACCTTGGCGCTTAAACACTTCACTAGATGTGGTTCCTCAGTCCCAGCTGCTTTTCCTACAGCCAGTCATGCCAGCTGGTGACTGTACTGGCCGAAGTTCTGTCAAGCAGCAACATTCCAGAAAGCATGTTCCCATGCAAAACACCTTTCAAAAAATTGGCCCACATCTTGCACAAGGGTCTACAGTCGACGAGTGTCCCAGTGCTATCAATAAGAGGTCCAACCACAGTCATGGTGTAAGACATCAACAATGCCGTTACGATGGTAAACCTTTCCACAGTTCCTCTTTGAAGCAGGATGTGTCTGAGACATTTAAAGATTACGGTGTAGACCCCAACATTGCTTCACTGGGAGAATTTGGTCACACTATTGAAGACATGGGTGTGGAAAACTCCTCATCCAGGCTTTCTGACCTTCAGGAGCCCCACACCACCACTTCACTATTCTCGCTTTGCACTGACTCCTTCCTTGCTTCATTCCCTCCAAAGAGTCCCAAAGCTTCAGTCACCCAGAGCAGTGATGTGGAGAATATCCCAGAGGCCTTTTCTCCAAGCTCCAGCAAACGCAAACGCTTCTGCAACACGTATAACATTTTGAATCGGTCAGGACTGCTGGGCATCACACTGCGCACAAAGGAACTTATTCGACAAAATAAACGATCCCAGGCCCAACTTCAGAGTCTGCAGACTCAGACTGACCTCTTCTTGGAGGCCATATGTAGTGGAGATCCCAAAGTCTGGACGAGATTGCAGCTTATCCTCCAGAAATCCAGAAACAGTGAAGAGATGCCAGTGGACACACTGGTGGACTCTGTAACGGGTGCAGAGTAGGATATTACAGACGTGGGTTGTATCGTGTAGTAGCAGCTTCAGATCTTAATATTTCAGCGGTTGTATTCTGCGGTTTTTGCCACCTTTGCTCAGACCTTTTAAAGTTTGACACATTTATAATCAGTTGCTTAGTAAATTTTCAATGTCAAGTCTTCAATAGAGTCCAGAAATCTAGTTATCACTCCAAGTGTTATCTATCCAACATCATTCTTATTCTTGTGGTTTTGTCCAAAGTATATAAAGACAATGTTTAGGTTAAAACTGCATCTTTTTCAGAATAAACTGATTCAGTGCTTCAGAATTTATTAGCAGTGTAGTCTCTATTTAAAAAACAATGCTATTAACCATTCTTTTATCTCAATCTAATTGGTTACTATTCGGAAAGGAGGCCTTGGAACACTGGAACATAAAAATAGTTTCTGCTCAGAATGAATCAAAATGGAAAAGAGTTAATTTCTAATCTCTGTATCTAATAAATGCCTTTGACAAAGATTTGAGTACTTATACTTAAGTGCACAATTCCCAATTTTTTTTTAATTCAGTTGAAAATGTGAAATTCAGGATCATCTTTGTGAAACTTTGTAAAAATGTGTTTGTAATAAACATTATTTGTATGTGTATAATGTGTTCTGAAATGCATCTCCAAGTAAATGTTCTTGTTATCTACGAGAAAGATCAATGGACGTTAAGGGTAAGAGTACTAATAACCATTTGTGCTGGTCAAGAGTGTTTTTGAAGTAGCATTTCAACAGTGGTTGTTATTTGTAATGCCTTGTGTCATATTATTGAGTTGTTTACATTCTTAACAAAGATTTGGATGTGAATGATCAAATTGGCAAATGTACTGGTTGATTTTTTTTCCCAT